TGCATAACATTAAATTTTATAAATAAGACTACAGTTTTAATTTAAATATATTTCGATCGCAAAATACAGCAAACATAATTTACTTGTTAAAGTTTTTTCTTCCCGAGAAGTTATAGGAAATACTCGACCTTAAATTAAAAATCTTATTTTAATTATATCATTGACTATAGATATAGAATAGCAAGGCTGAAGAAATTATTAGATTCTATAGACAATTTAGATAAGACGATAACTAATCTATGACAAAGAATATAAAAATTAAAATCAAGGCACAAAGGAATCGCCTAAGAGTTATATTGACATACATTTTATCTATATCTTATAATATATATATACACAAGCCCAGATATTATAGTCTAGGGCCGGATTTAAGCGCAGGCTATATAGGCTGCAGCCTATTAGTTTGCACTAATCGCATTACAACAGGGCCCTTACCACACATCACACATTTTAAGACAAATAAATTATGAAGATATTATAATTTATTTTTTTATTTATTTCATATGGAGTAAACTCCATTTACAAAAAAAATTACAGCAGCCAAATATATATCAGTATACAAAATTAAAACATCGTAATAATTAATATCTAAATAATAATTAGACATGACAACAAATAAACAAAAATAATCCACATATTGGTAAAACAATCAATTACATTAACAAGCCTATTATTAAATTACATTTAAAATTCATAATTTTATCAATAGAACATATATAATTTTTATCTCATGAATTAATAATTTTAAGTAATTCGTAATTTAAAGTTAGTATAAATATTAGACAATGTTTATAAATTTAACGCCGAGTTTATGTAATTTATGAAACAACAAAATAGATCTAACTTAATAGTTAATACTACATTTCCGGCCATCATTAAATTGTTGGCTGGAGAAGAAAACAGATACTTGGCTTTAACATTATATAATGATAAAAAATGCGTGTTTAATTCTTGAGTTTTTATAATTTATTTTAAAATTTATTTTTTCCAGTAATTGAGGACATCAATACAAAGTTAAGACGTAACTGCTCAAAGTTAAAATCTTTAAACCTATTTATTATGTTATATTATATATTATTTTGTTAATTTAATTACCATCGTTGCAATATTAATAAAAATTGTTGAATACCTTAAATACTATGTGATAATTGAATTTACACTTTAATACTATATTTTAAATGTTATTTTTTTATGCGAAAAACTAGAAGTTAAAAAGTTGCACTACACTCGATTTCGAGAAGAATATTATTTGAAAATGTTTTAAAAGTGGTTTAGTCTCCCCATTTGTGCATAATATGCCCTTCCTATTTCCTAAAACCCCTCTATTAGGGTCCACGCTACAGTTGAGCTTAGGAGCCTACAAATCCTAAATCCGGCCTTGATTATATATAGATACAAACTGATAAATATAAAACATATTAAAGATGTATAATGTTACGCTTACGGACTACGGTATATACAGATATAAGTTTTCACAGTACACTATAGTTATATATATGATTACGGCATAATATGTACATAGATTATAGGTATATATTTTTTTAACTTCCACTTAATCTACACTTTATTATCTTTTAATTATATTATTTTTTATTTATACTTGATAATTTGTCCCAGTCTTCGAAGACAATGCTTTATCTGACCCTTACTATCATCTACTTTAGGTTTTTATATATTCTTATCTATATATTGTTTTGCACTTGTTTCCTGAGTAGTTAGAAATTTTCCATTTCTAAAATATTTTTTTAAATTTTTTACTACGTGATAGATATTCATAATAAAAATAGAAAAATAGTTACAAGCGTTAGATATTTTATTGTGTGGCTAATTGGGCCATCGTGTTATCGACTTATATTAAATAGTAAATACGCGTATTTTTGAATAAAAATTTTTGATGTACATTTGGTTTTTCGGGAAAAACCATACTGGTTATAAGCAACACGTCACTGTTTATTATTAAACCGGACGGCCACGATAGTTTATTTGAAGATAGTATAATGAGGTCGATTTTATATTACAAAACGGTGAATGATGATAATATATTATTATTATAATATACTTATATATATAATTTAATAGTGAAATGTATTATTTATCTTTTATCTTTCGGGTTCATGGCTACATCAGCTGTCATATTGTATTCATTGAAGTCATTGAACTATGATTGACCATTGCCATCATTGTATTATTCACTAATTATGATCTATGAAATTTCCTGAGTTGAGGATCAAACTAAACTTTAAACACCACACGACAATCAACATAGCTGTGTACCTAATTTTATGCATGGATACTGGATATATTCTCAAGTAGCATGTAAATTTATTTTATTTCGAACTCGAAAACACCTCTCAGCCTATACACACAATGTGTGTGTCACTTTCGTGCCAACTATATACATACATAAAATATAAATTAAACGTTTTCTGGTCTTACGCGATACAAATTGTCTCGCTCGCTGCTCTCTAGATAGTGATACTATACACTTACTGTTAATGTATTTTTCTTTATATTGTTTCAAAATATGAAAATTTAATTTTTTTACAGTATTACAATGAAACAATTATTTATTGTTAATAACTTGCGTACATATCGTACAGAAAAACACATATTAACATTTATCTCGACGATACGATTTTGAAAGATTTCAAGTATACTTATTATTGTTGTTAAAAAAGATAAAAACAAAACTGCTTATGGAAACTTTGAAATTACCTTTCAAATTATTAAAACAGTACAAAAAGTGTAACCAGAATCAGATTGCAGAACACCTGTGCCGATACGGTAGACATTGAATATTCTCGATAATAGAAGGCGTATGCCGCGAGTGGTTCCCTTTATTATTTTATTATAATACGTATTAGGCACACGTACTTAATCCAACCGTCAGAATTCGACTACTTGGTGTTTTATTCGATAATATATACTATACAATATTATGTATTGTGAATCAGGATAATATACGTTTTATCGATATGATGGGATATTTAACACAGGATAGTACATCGTGATAAATAATAACGCGATTTAAAATAATAAAATATATAATATTAATACATGCATGTGTTGATAATTTATCGTGTATATTATAAGCATATATATTTGAAAGGCATTTAATAAGAAAATTACAGGCAGGGTTTGAAATAAAAATGAAATTTTTTGGTTTTAATTTAAATTTTATGATTTTTATTTAGTCACACAATATTGTTTTAATTGTTTTCTGATTTAAAATTTATTTTAGATTTCTTATTATTAATTAATTATAAGTTTAGAACATTTTAAAATATCCTCGTTATATTCGTCTGTCCGTTAGTTAGTAAAACATCAATTAATTATTTATTGTCTATAATAGGATTACGGGTGGAATCCAAAGGTTTTACTTTTTTAATATAAATATTCATAATTTAAAACAAACAATAATTAGGAATACACTCATTTAATAGTCTTATTAATTATTTATATAAATACTTTAATACTACAGGTAATTAAATAAATAACTTTAAAATGGTTATATCAAAGTAAATTCATACTAGCTAGAATTAAAAATAAGTATCAAAATATAAGGGTAACAACTATTTTTTTAATTGCATAATATGCAATTTTATTATAGTTTATTGCGTTGTATTAAAATACACTTAGGAACCGGCAGTTAAGTACGCTTGCGAGTTTTCTTAACTTATTTAAAGTTTAAATATAATTTTCATTTTTTTTTCAATTCTTTTACATATTTACGGTTTTATTTTTGACTTAAACACACACACACACACACACATATATGAGAAGTCTGTCGTTGTTTACGCATTTCATGTATGGCATAACGTGCAGTTGTATAAAACGTATCTAGAAATACGAAATATTAGCTGTTTTTTTTAGTTTATTACCTACCTATGAATAATTAATAACATTATTTAACTTGTATATAACTTTTTTTATTACTATTATTATGACTTAATTTATCGATTTAAATTTTTGTTTGATTTCAATACGAATTATGAATATTATATAAAAAAAAAATACATCCAATTTCAATATAACTTTTCAACGTTTTTTCATTGATATCTAAAATTGATTTCAAACGCTGTTTACCGGGCGATTGTCGTTCTTAACGCGTGTACTTTATTATGGAACACCACTCGTCCTGCAATTCAAACCAAAACTATATATAAATTACAACGTACAGCGCGTTCGAATTTCGAAGTAAACCTACGTCTCAAGACTAGTGTCAGCCGCAGGCGAGACGCACGAGAGGGTGTGGCGACGTGCGGACGATAGCGGGAAAAAAATCGCGGCTCGAATACGCGTGATGTGTAGTTTAATAAATTATACGTGTGTATAGTTCGCGTTACCACCGCTGGGTTCGTATTGAAATCGTCTAAAACGGTCTTTTGATTTTTTTCAAACGTCCGAAAACCTCTACGGACAAAGATTGTCGTTTGGAAAACGAAAAAATCACAATCGATCTTGCCCCGCAGTCATAGAGGTACCTACATAAAAACGGTCAAGCGTTGTACTACAATAATATGATAAAATTATTATCTCATTATGACGCGCATATATAGGTGTGTAGCGGTGCATCGGAAGTGTCTCGCCGCCACCCCTAATAAAATAACGTATATTATTATTATTATTATTAGGTATACAATAATATTATAAAAGTCCTCGACGACGACGACGCGGCGTTAAGCCGAGTGCGCCCGAGGTTTTCGCCGCCGTCACTCGGCGTGCGGCGGCAATATTGTTGACCGATTCGGGCGTGGGCCACCGCCGCCGCCGCCGCCGAATTCGATCCGCCGGGGCCGCGCACGCTCGGTCGAAGGCGCTGCCCCTATCCGAGTCGTGCGCGCACACGCCGCCGCCGCCGCGGGATCGGTCGAGCGCGCGTCCGCTCCGAGCTTGCCGGTCCCTGCGCGCGCGCGCGCTCCCGATCGTTGCCCCTACTCGCCCGCGGTTCGAGATCGAAGACCACCGCCGCCGCCGCCGCCGCCGACGCTCGCCACGCATCAGACCCGCGTACGACGCGCAACGCAACAACAACATTCGTCGCGCGCGCTGCAGTGCTTTTGCGCTATTATAGCGTAGGCGTATTATTATTGTACACGTCGCAATCGCCGTTGTACGCACGACGCGGTTTTCGGTTCGCACCGGCTGACGACGGTTTACGTTAAACGCGACGACCAAGACGCATCGCCGCCGGAATTGACCTAGTTATTTTTTCGCGTCGTTCGCACACCATCCGCGGGTTTTTCGGGGTTTTTCGGGGTTTTTCCGTTTTCGTTTTGAGCCCCGCCACCGCCTCGTCGCGCCGACGTCCGCCCGACGACGTAAAACCTACGTAAATTGCTCAACAACCGTCGCCCCGCCGCCGTACCCTACCCGCAATAATTATTATAATAGGTACGACACAGCCATCGTGTGCCCGCCCGAACGACGGGGCGCGTGCTTTTGCAGTGGCGTTGTCGCGCGCGCACGCACGCACGCACACACGCACACACACAAACGCACGCACGCACGGTTTACCGGACAGGACTGTACAGCCGCTCACCTGCACGCAAACCGCGGTGCATTCACTTCGGACGGGGCGCGTGCTGCGCTTGATCTGCGACTGATCACCGGGACACGCGTAAGTATACCTACGTACATTATTTGCATCACTTCGTCAGTAGATCATGTCATTATAATTATTATGTAACGAATATAATATTGTCGTCTCGTCGCTGCTGCAGTGGCGCGTTGAAGTCACACGCGACCCTTCCACGACCGTCATCCGTCCGTGTCAACCACACACACACGCGCGCGCGTGTATACAAATAGCTTACCCGTATCGTGATATTATACGATAGGAGGAGGCAAGCGTTCGTTTCATTCCTCCACGATAACATTACGTTATGCGTTATGCGTTTCGTCATTAATCATAATAAATTACTGACCGTCGTCGTACTCTTACGTCTAGAATCACACATAATGTCGTGATGTCGTGTACCCATTCGGTTTCACGTAGTCAGGATCTGGTAACTTTCTCGGCCCTTAAAAAAAAATCGACCAACCTCTCCCAAGTGACGCGGTCGATCCGCCACTGATCTCATCTGCAGCACGACGTCGACAAGACGAGAATATTATTACGCGGTATCTTCGGTACCTATCGAATGTATGGTTTCGGCTTCAGTTCAGTATAACATGTGATTACCTATATGATATACCGTCGCATCGTTTAACTTTGTTATGTTCTACTGAGATGCACCGAGTGTGTCAGCGTATTTTATTGGATACCATATATAGTTATTAATCAAACTTATGATAGTAATTTGGTATTTTCCTAACATCATACCGTACGTGTTTTGTTGTGTGTTTAGGTTAGTTCGTTAGATGTAATAACATTCCAGATGACGATTTGACATTGCGATTGAAACCATACTGCCTTGCCGCTATGGTAAGTGATTTTGTGCAGGTCAAATCCATTTGTTTCTTGTTTTTTTTTTGGTTTTTTTTTTATTGTTTCGCCGACCACGGTAACGGGATTTATTTTTTTCAAGGACATAACATGGCCGAAGACTATTGGCATGCCGGTAGCAGATTTATGGTGTCTTTGTCGTCTTTGTTGTTATTGCTGTTATCGGTATGCGCCAGTGCTCAGAGAACGCTGTCTTCGTCCGGTAAGCACCGTTAACGGCTTAATTACAACTGCATGCGCATATCGAGCGCACAACAGTCAGTGTTGGATTTAGTAGAAGTCAGGGGTTAAATTTACCGGGTCCCTAAAGTTTTGGACTTTTTAACTTAACAAGGAAATCAATTGCCAATTTTAAGAATACTTGAAATGGTTATGGACTTAGTTGTATCAATAGTTGTGACTCGATTTAAAGGAACACATTAAGTATCTAATTGAAATATTTTATTTTTTAAGTTTTTTTTTTACTTTTGTTAAGTACAAAAAACTATTTAATTAATGCACCATATGCATATTTGCACTTCTAATATTAGGTAGTAGTGAACCTCGGCTTCCCAAGACTTAAATCCTGCACTGATAACAGCCTATAATAATTTCGTTAATCTAACGGTCTTCACGGTTACTTGATTCTTATTTAGGATGTGACAAGACGTTTGTGAGCAACGACGGTCCTCAGAATGGCACGTTCCAGGCCCCAGAGTTCACTAACGTCTACGGCGAGTCCAGAGTGTGCGTTTTCACGTTTGTGGCTGCTTCGCACCAAAAAGTCTTTGTATCGTTCACCGCGTTCAAGCTCCGAAGTACACCTCCAGAGTAAGATGCTGTTTTTCGTAGAGTAAACCCATAATAAATTTAACCCGAACTCATCACATTATTAATCATAATAATTTATGACTTATAAGTTTTACAAGTTAATCACAATATTATGTTTAAAATATAACTATAAAAGCATATAACTTCTACCAACTACTATAGGATCTACTATATACACACAAACCTACCACAGAATTATTTTTATTTAATTTAATTTTTTTAATTTTTTTTAATAGGGGAGAGGGTGCCAAGTGTATTTATTCTGCTTTATTGGGTCACGTCTGAATAGATATCCAATATACTTATAGGGCTTTAATTTTGTTGAGAACTTTGATTTTTACGCAAGCATCTTTTTACAGACATGATATTGCTACTGCATGTACCATACATTATGCACAGTTAAAAAAAATGATGCACTAAATAACATTTCACACATAAAAGTACATTATATTTGAATTTAAATACCATAACGGTGATAGAAAATTAATTTAATATTATAACTTATATAATTTTATAGTGATATAAAAATATATAACATAAATATTTTAACCTCATTTTGGATGACTACCTACTCAAATTTATTATAATTATTAATTACCATTGCAGTGAATAAATTTGTTTAAAAACGAAGAACATAATATCTATATTAAATAATACCATGAATTGTTACTGCACATATGTGACGCATTACATATTACGATATATAAATATATATATACGAGTCCTTAAAATTACAAGTTGAAGCCTTACAATTTCTATTATTGAACAGAAAGTAGACGTTATACTAATCAATTTTTCTTAAGTCGGCATATAAGAGATATATTGTAGTATTATACGATATTATATTATAAACTTATAAGTGTGCATTATCGTTCACAGATGCGTGCACGAATACGTGGATGTATACTCGGAGGTTCAACAAGTCGATACGGAGGACTTGATAAATTCGCCATTTGGAGGTAGATACTGCGGTCTTATACCACCTAGGGACCGGACGTCGTTGTACAGAACTGTAGCGTTTAGTTTTTACACAGACAAGAACACGACCACGTCATCGTTGTTCGAAGGCTATTATATGTTCAGCAACGATTGTAAGTGTATATCACAATATGGCTTTTAATAGTTGAAAAATTGGTTTTCTGATTTACATATACCCTTTTTTTTCCCAAAACGAAAAAGATACGATTTCCCTTTTTACCAAATATTATTGAGGAATCGTAAAATAAACGTAATAATCAAATGTGTATTTTGAATTTAAAAAATGTTCTAATCATTATGTAATTTTTAAACATCCAATATATTTAAATATTTTGTTTTATTTTTTGTCACAAAAAATTTAATATGTACAATCAATAATAATACCGTACCAAAAATAATATTAAATTTAAAATTTAAAAAAATTATAGAAATTATAATAAATTTATCAGTTGTTATTAATGATTATCGCTGTATATAGTAAATACTAAAGTACAATCTTTGTGATTATTTATAAATTATAAAGCACTATTTCGTGTTTGTGACATTACTTTTTGGTAGGTTTATTGATTAAAATTTAAAATTATTTAATTAATAAACTTTTTTTAACAGAAATGCCTTTTAGTGAAATTAGAAATCGTACCTTTTTCGTTTTTGACGGAAAAGGGCTGTAGCAGAATATGAAAACGGTTAATATTAATATTTTGAAAGTAGCATCTATATTTATCGAATAGTATCTGTTATAGATTAGAGTTTAGTCTGAATTTAATAAGATCATATATATATATATATAATATACATACCATATACGTGTAACTGTATTTTTAGCCGCATTCCAACTGGGAACGCCGTCGCCAATCAGCCCGTGTTCGTTCGTCGTGAACTCAAATGTGAAAAAAGTAGGCACTATACTCACGCCGACGTACCCTGGTATATATCCCAAAGGAATGAAATGTACATACTTATTTCACGGACAAGCCAACCAGAGGGTGCGGTTAGAATTCCGAGACTTTGACCTATTTTATGGAGGTCCACAGTAAGCATTTTTAAAATGTTTTAATGAAATATATATGCATATATGTATATATAAATATTTGTTACATAAATGTGTGGTATTTACGTTACAATGTTTATTGTTTCTCCACAGCTGTCCTTTTGACATTGTAAGCATTTATGACGGATTAAATGCTACTAGCCCTTTGATCGGCCAATATTGCGGTCAACAACGAAATTTAGTGGTATACTCAACTAAAAATTATTTATACGTAACTTTCGACACACTTCATAGGGCGGCGAACACGCAAAACCGTGGTTTCAAAGGCATGTTTGAATTTAGCGAAAGTTTTGTCAAACTCGGTAAGTTTGTCTCACATTAATCACATACATATGTATAGTAAAAGCTTATATTACTATAATGTTAAATGGATTTAATTTTTGTATTTATTTAGATTTTATCGGGGTAAACGATGGAGAACATGTTCGAGGCACCGAATGCGATCAAAAAGTGTTAAGTAAACGTACCTCGACGGGATTTATATATAGCCCTAACTATCCGTTTCCGTACATCCCAAAAATCGTATGTCGGTATTTTGTTTATGGTCTCGAAGGTGCACAAGATTTGGAAAGAGTTAAGCTGGAATTCCAAAAATTCAATATACCCAAAGCACAAGTTAACGAACAGGAGTGAGTATTTATTACAAAATTATCAACAGTTCGAACGGTTTTTAATTGTTATTGTTTACATTTAAGATGCACGGATGGTTACTTAAAGCTATACTTGAGAGGTCAAGAAGCCATGGATTTGTACGATAAGTTTGACTACGAAATGTGCGGTGACGAGGCCGATGAAAAGGTAGTAATAAGTGAAGGCGCTAGACTAGCAATGGTTTTCAGCAGTGGCGAAATGCATGGTCGAGGTTTTAAAGCCAAATATACGTTCGAAACTGGTAAGTGCACATTAGAACATTAAAAAAAAAATGTATTCTCTATTCTCTGCTATTCATTAGAATATCTTATACCTGGAACGGCTGCACCGAACGGAACGTGTCATTTTACTTACCGCAGTGAGTCTAAGAAACGAGGAGATTTCAACTCGCCCAGACATCCGGCCAACTATCCCAACGGTCTGAATTGTACGTTTCTATTCTTAGCTACGCCCAACGAACAGGTCACCGTGATATTCGATCAGTTCAAAATCAAAGTTGACGTAACCAACATTTCATTAGTTCAATTTGGGTACGGAAACAATACTATTATTTTTTACAACGTGTGTAGTTTATGCGTAGTTTGTGAAAAATAAAAAAAGTACTTATTTTTATCATACCTGCATAGTATATAATTAAAAAATATTAATTATAAGATTTGAATTTATTTGCATATTTCTTTTTTTATTAATATAATATTTTTATTTAGGGTGTTTGTTTGCAAGGAGGACTGGCTCGAAATATATAACATTTACAAAGATGGTACTGAGAAAATCGTCGGTAGATATTGCGGTATGACAGCGCCTGGACCGTTGGAATCTAATCGGGGCGCGATTGGTCTAAAGGTGCTACTGCACACAAACTCGGAAGGTGTCTCTAGTGGCTTTAAGGCCAGATATTTTTTCGACGAAGCTAAGCCGATATTTGGTGGTAAGGATGTGGTTAATTAATGTATCTACACACCTTCGAATAATTTTTAAACCCGAAAATATAAACACCTATGTTATAAGTCATATTGTTATTCGTTTTAATGATGATCGATTTTTTTTCATTTTTGTTTCAAGATTGCGGTAGTAATATCAGTAATGCAGATTCTGGAAAGGTGCAGAGTCCGAATTTCCCGCTCAAATATACTGCACCGGAAAAAGGAATGCCGAGCAGAACGTGCAATTGGTTTATAAACGTTAGGCCCAATTACAAAATACTGCTCAACTTTGTCTCGTTCTCGGTGGAAGGAGAGCCGGCAAGTAAGTACAAAGATTTTTTTTTAAATACGTATTTTAATATGAATATTACAAATTACACTGTAAATTCTACAGTATTGCTAGATAACACGTATATTTTATACTATTATAATATATACCTACTCACTACTATCTATGCTACGAAATTAATATGTATCTAATAATTTACTTTTTCTACAGCTAGAGGCTGTGCGACGGCCGTTGTTAGACTTTGGCCATCTGTAGAAGAACCACCGTTGGAGTTGTGCGGTGAAAAGCCCATTGAGTCGTGGCAGTTTCTCTCCGAATCCAATCAGTTTAGGATAAGGTATAATAATAAAAAAAAAAAATGATACTAATCTTTATTTTTAACTATTAATATGATCATAAATAAAAAAAAAAAAACGATTCTGAGCGAAATTCGGTTAGAAATTTAATACTTTGTTAAATAATGAATGAAATAATTTAATTCTATTTGTGTATTGATTTTATTATTAATCGGTGAAAGTTTCAAATATATATTATAGTATTTATATCCGTCAAATTATAGCAGAAAAAGCATTATCGATTTGAGGAAAAACGTGTGTGTAGTAAATTGGAACGTTTTTCACCTCACACACTTCACAAAAACGTGAGAAAATCAAATAAATGACTTTTTCAGTAGATACCATTTATATAACAAAGTACATTTTACCATTAATTTTGCAACGGAAACGGGATGAGCCCGAGATAATCGAGTTCTGGAATTTCTACCGAAAAAAAAGAAAAACCCACCATCGTAACGTTTCGTTTAGAGAATCCAAAATTACAAAATTGCGCGTATCTACCTATCGATAAGAAAATATGATATACATGTATAAATACATAATAACATTCCGCTGCGTATTTGACGAGTAAAAATATATATAGTTAATATCATCATGCTTGTTAATACAGTTTTGTCGTGGCCGACAAATCTGGCAACGGCACCGGTTTTGCTGCGACCTGGACTGAAGTATTGGACAATTCTGACTCGTGTCCGGGGTTTCAATGCGAAAACTCGAGTTACTGCATATCCAATCAGTTGAGATGCAACAACGTGATGAATTGCGGGTCCAACGACGTGTCAGACGAGACCAATTGTGAGTATTATTTACTAGATCCTTTGTAATGGCATAACGTCATTGACGCCCTACGACGATGCACACTGGAAATGGGAAAAATAGGGCCGCGTAATGACGTCGCATTTACTCAAGTCGGATAAAATCATATGAATTTAACATTATTATAATATCGTTGATGGTCGTTTAGATATATCCGTTTACGGGGAAAATCGCCAAGATCATTAGGCAACTTAATGTACATTTAACGATATTCTCCTCGTACGTTTCAGGGGATATATACTTTCAGTGGTCGATCTGTTTGATAATATTATTCTCCTTTATATTGAATCATAATTTACGATATTATATTATTATATTATATTATATCAGTTATGTGACATCGATCTAAAATTTGGATTTTTATTTTATTAGTATATATGCAGTTATTAGAAATAATATTATGTTATATTATATTATTTATGTAAATAATGTTAAACGCGATTAAGATATTAATATATGTTAATTGTTAATAATATGGTTTTAGTAATAGGTGTATATAATTTCTTATCCTATAAATAACAGAACAATTATTATATAATTAACAATGTATACAATACTAATATGAAATAAACGAATAATAAAATAAAGTTACTACTGGTTAGTTTTCAAATACGAACTCTAAAAAATGATAAAAGACGTGTTCTGAATGATTGCGTGTTTTGGAATAATTTATTATTAAACGTCATGATTTCAAAAATCAAATATTAATCATAATTCATAAACGGCAGATGGAAAATTTGACGCAAAGAGTGATGCCGGTTGCCGACACGTATTTTACATTGTGTACAACACACGCGTAGGTAGGTGGTACACAGTGGTTTTATAATATTGTATAAAGCGGAAAGTTCGCATTCATGTTTTCGAGAAAATTGAGATTTGCCTCGAAGACGTACAATTATTTATTTTGCGTTTATTCGATAATTCATTTATTCGTTCGTTTCGTGTTCGCCAAAAACTGCAATAATAATAATAATAATAATAATAATAATAATAACATAATATAATACGAGTACGTATACACAACGTAATACATATTATAAATTTATGTGTCGGCGGCGGTCGGCGGTAAACTAGAGCTGGTATAATATTATTATGGCAGTGGCGGCGGAACTATCTAAAAATCATAAATCATTTAAGTGCGGTTTTACGACAGACCCTCCGCGCGCGCGTCTCGACTCGCTGCCGTATAAAATATATATATAACTATAAATAAATACGCTCACGTCGAAGTCTTGTCGTATAATAACCGTAGTAATGAACCGAATACAAATTGCCCGTGTGTGTATATATATATTGTATGAGCGCCTCGTAATATTCCGCGTAGGTACCGATGAAATCGGCCGTGTGTGTTGTTCGGCGCGTGATCGTAAAACAATATTGACGCCGCCTCCGCGCGTATCTGTACGACAGCATATACGTGATGGAAATAAAACGGCCAAAACTATATCGATCGACGGGGAATATTTTATTTCGAAAATAACGCAAAAAATGTATATATACAATATACACACAATATACTATATTATACACTTTACGTTACGGGGGGGGGGGGATTAATCGATATTCGACGGCGTGCAGGCGATATATAATAATAATAATAATATATTATAAGAATCGAGTACTAGAAAAAAAGAACAGTTCCGTCGAGCAGTTTCTTTTCGTACACACGTTTGCATAACGTCATATCAGACCAATTATTAGGTATTTCACGAATCCGTTTATAATCGAAAAATTCGATTTGACAAAGTTATAGTAACACAGAAATACTTTTTTATGTGTTATCTATAAATAAAAATATAGCTTTTGTATATGAAAGTTCTGTGATAAATTAATCATGCATTATACTAGTAATGATACTGTATTGTGTTTAATGATAATAAATGAAAAAAAAATTTACTTTTATTTATATTTATTCAATTTTATTTAAACTTTTAGGTCACTACATGAGTCCTATTACTTATTAGTGGCACCCAGTACTCATTTGTACACGAAAAAAAAAATCTTGCAAAATAAATATAAATTTTATTGACCTATCACCACTCCGCCTCATTTTGTACACGGACACACCTAGTTACTTTAAAATGATACTTGGAGAAAATTGACTGACTGAAATAAAAATGGGCAACTCGCTTATATTTGAGACGTGAAAAATCATAAAAACTGGACTTAACAACGCATGGGAGATGGGATTTTCCCCGATGTTGTAGCGTACACAGAATATGAAATCGATATAATTCCAGTGTGGTCAACGAAGCGAGGTTGAATTACGATATAGATACCGTATTACCAGTTTTTTATTTGAGTCATACCTCATACATTTATTTAAATTCACTAAATGGTTCTCTTAAAAAGTACATCCTTCATACAGTCGATTACTTTTATGTATATTCAATATATACTATTTGTGCTAAGGTACACTTATAAAAACGTGCTATGTATAGTATTGTTTTTGACTTTTCGTGTAAGCATTTAATTTTGTTCAATTTTATTAACACGAAATGAGTCATCTATAATGAGATTCTTATGACATATTTATGAATATCATGCACCCACAATTTTAGGAGATACAAATTTTTTAAAAGTTTATTCCCTCTCTTATTATCAAATGACTTCTGTAATAAAACTTACAATAATAATTACAACTTTTAATATTATTTATTGATTTTATTTTATTTCATATACCTGCATAATAAGAAGAATCATGTTAGACCCATGTTTCATAGACTATTTAGAGCTGATTATAATCTATTTGTATAGTTGATAGCGAAAAATCTTATAATAATAGTAGCTGTTGCTTGTTAATAGAATAATAGATTCTATAGTTTATGACTACAGTTGATATAAACTATAGGCTATTGTTCAAAGAATGAAAGTACAACTTTTTAATCATTACTGTACGTAATTAATAATTTAAAAAAAAATTGCGACGTATAAATAATATAATCTTATAATTTCCTATTTTTAGTAAAACTGCAAAAACCCTACTTTTTATTTACGTTTAAGGGAATGCACATCTTTTCCAATGGCATAGCCTACGATAACCACCAATGGTGTGCCAGGTTTTATAAAAGAGCGAGAAGGAATAAAAAAACCATAAAAAATTTAAATAGTTTCTATCGCCATTCGCTAAAAATTATTGATATATACTACTCCACAGTCTATACATATGAATATATTATATATTCGTGATTTCACGTGTTTAATAAAGCATAATCATGTTAATTACATATTATTTTATTATCATAGGTACTGGACAAGGCTGGAGAAGCTTATTAATTTTTTTCAACTTGATAATTTAATATGGAAAAATGTAACTTAAATTTAAAGTTAAAAGTAACTTTACTTTTTTTTTAAATTAATTAAAAAAAAAAATTAATAGCATAGTCATATAATAATATAGGTTTAATAGTTTTCTAAAAAAAAAAACGTTTAATTGCTTCAGGTACTTTTATATTCAAACATTTTAATTAATAATGAAATCCAATAAAATATAATTACAAACTGTGTATATATTAATGAATTACTTTACCTAATATAGTCATCAAAGTTTTCCGAAGTAACGGAAAAAAAATTTAACTTTAATTTTTTAACTCGTTAATGCTCAGTTTTGGGTACAGACGTACTGCGTTAAAAGTCAATAAATATCTCCTTTGGCCACCCCCTCCCCCTCCCGGACAATGCCACTGTTCTCGGCCACCGCCACTACCATAACACCCAACGCCAAACAACCCTCTTAACCTCGCGGCCTATACTAGGACCGCTTAACTACGTCTACTACACCGTGTGCGTGCGTTTGCTGTTTGGCAGGTGCGATGGAACCGGAAGCCATGGACAACGTGGTGCTATCGGCGGTGCTGACCATGTGCACAGTGCTAGCGCTGATGTTGGCCGGATGCCTGTGCTGCCGGCGGCGGTCGGGCTCCGGCCGCCGCGATCGGTTCCGACGGGGCGTCGGGGGCGGCGTGGGAGTCGCGGGCGGCGGATACAACCGGCACCGGCGGCACCACCAACACCATCATCAACACCACCACGAGCCCCGGCCGCCGTCGCTCCGGTCGCTCAGCCCTACGCCGTCGTCCGGCCAACACGTGTGCGACGAACTGGGCGAGCGGTTCGCCAGCGTGGACAGCGTGTGACGTCCACTGGAGTATCCCCGCCGCCGTCGCAATTGCCGCAACCTCTTTCGACAACAACAACAACAACAACAACAACAACACCACCGCCGCCGCCGCCGCCGCTGCCGCCGAGACCGCGATGATCACCGCCAGAATCCTGCTCTTCCTTCTCAGCAGCAGCAGGAGCAGCAGCAGCAGGAGCAGCAGCAGCAGTAGTAGTAGTAGAGCCCGTTTCGTCCCGGCCACGCTCCCCGTCGCGACTTCTGCGCAGCGGTTGCGGTGGTCGATCGTGCCACTGCGACCGCATCTCATCGCTCAACAGTCACCGCCGCAGTATTATAGGTACCCCCCGTACTATATATATATATAAATTATAATATTATGATATTATGGTTTTCGCGTGGTGCGCTAAATTTTTTAGTCGTGTCAATCCTATGCTCGTCGAACGGTGTTTAGAAAATAATAATATGATAATAATTGTACAATAATATAATATTATGTGTATTTTACGAATTTTTTGTCATTTCGTTCATCGTGTTCGTGATTACTTACGTACCTATATAATATTATTATATATTATTATACGCTCGCCGCGTATTGAGATCGATTTCCCCGGAAACGGCGGATTTCGTATTGTTTCGTTTTTTTATAATTTTATTTTTTCGTTTTGACTTAAACAAATCACCGATAATCACAGATGACAGGTCTGAAGACTCTCACGCCCCGTAAGAGACGACTGTTACGGTAACAACTACAATTCACATCCCCTGTGCTCTACGACTAGCAAAGTTATTTTCGTTTAAATTTACCAACCATTTACCACCTTTCATCGCGTCCACTCGACAAATTATAGTATGTGTATTGTTATATATGAGAATCGCGTTGTTCTTCAAAATCTTTCAATATCATCACGTCGAATATTATAGTAATTTTTTCCTTTGATTTTGTTTTTCTTTCTATAATTCGATCAGTCGGTAACGACGTTTACCGCAAAATCATCATCTTCAGCACGTAACAGAAGCTGTAAACCTTTAGCATAGGCCCAAATATCGGTAAGGGGGAGTGGGAGCTAAAACCCCTAACTTTAAAAACCAAAGATTTCACACATTTGTAAAATTTTTTCATGTGTTTTTAAAACAGGTACTGGAAGTCATAAAAGAGTCTGGTTTGGACCTAAGCTTCTGCCCCCATCTCTTCTTCCAAATCTTAAATTTAATTTGCACAATTAATCTTCAGTATTTTATGTACAATATCAGTAATAATGGATTAAAACAGCGACTTGTTATGTATACAATGTATACTATACATATTACATACTTGTACGTAATATCATAATAAATTGAATGTGTGGTGTGTGTGTGTGTTGTGTGTGTGTATGTGTGTGTGAGTGTGTGGAACTCGCGAAGTTTTTTGCTTTTTCTTGCGATATATAATATGATACGACGATGATGATATGTGTTTATTATATAGAATAGTTGACTCTAACCCCGCACCGTATCGTATACTTACGAAAGTGTGTGTTCTATTGAAAATCGATTAGCGTGTCGTTTTAGGGAGCGTTCTATTATATAGCTCCATCTAGTGTACTCGGCGATTGTCGAGGACAACAGAGCGTATCGTGAAACACATAAATAATCGTTCGCGTCCTGCATTCCGCCATCGGCGATGCGTGTTGGTTTCCTTTCTATATAAAATATAATATACATATATATATATTTAATAACATAATAACAATAACGTCGTCGACGCGTGCACGGCTAGTTTTCAGCGTGTGCTATACTATACATTGGGGAGTGAGGGTCAAAAATGGAATCAATTGCTCAATCATATTAAGCCAAAAATAATAATACTAATATTATAGAAGAATTCCCGATTTTTGCGTTCGCTACCACTTTTTGGAGGGAGAGGCAAAATGGGAATTCATGAAAATGGGCGTTTTTCAAAATGTTCGTTGCTGAAAGACTAGTCGTGGCGATTTTTTTTTTTTTTTTTTACCTCACAGTTCGGTATAAGTTTAACATATAATATATTATGAAATACCTATGTATTATTATAATATGTACTTAATAATAATATTATATTAACGATTTTTCGAAATTACAAAAGGCTGGAGTTTAGACAAATACATATTTTGTTATCTATTTATAATTTTAGGTTTTGTTTTTAGATGAAACATCATATAACCGCTTTGGACCTCTTGTTATTATATTATAATATACAATAACAACGCTTTACCTAATATATAAATATATAATATTACAAATCCCGAACGGTCTCGATAATATACTACGACATCTGTTTCGTAGTCATAAATTATTACGTATGGTATAGTTTTTTTCGTACATTTTCGTTATTATCCGATTGAGATTTTATCGACAGCGTGTCGTGGTTATAATTATCTTGTGTGTGTAGGTAATCTATTCATAAGACACTACAAAGCATATTCATTTCGTTTCCTAACATATTTAGTGAACGTTTCAAAATATTATTAAATTGTTTTTGTTATGGTTTTCTGCACAAAACTGTTGTATATTAATTGATATAAAACGCACTTGTAAAATCTTTAACTATTCTTTCGCCAAATTAAGCTCAAGGAGTGGACAATTCAAATAACTGTGGGTCGCGCGTATATTGAATTGAACTGCTCAACTCGATGACCCCCATTCACCAAACAGTTTTACGCCTCAAAAGTCAACAAATAGACGAAAGTCTTTCACTTCTGGCTATTAGGCCATTACATACACACACATATTATAATACAACCTATAGGAAGTAGGTAGGTATATTTTACAAGTATATAGATTAGGTATATTAGGATAAATTATTATCGAAATTCCGGAGTGAAAACAGTATTATTGTAATGAATTTCTTCCAATTTTAATAAAAATGTTATGATATTTAACATAAATATTAATAATAATAATAATAATAATAATACATTTATACATACTATATAATATTTGTATCGGCAATCTACTACCGACAATGTATATATATATATTACATAACATAATAAATATAATTATTCGTTAGTGTAAGTGTATCGAACTTTTGTTATGAATTTCTGTTAAGTTTTTAACTATCGTATTAATATTATACTCATACGTTGAACGTTTTGCTTGTAATATTGTTAGTAAAAAAATTGTGGTTTTTTATGGCAAATTTTTTTTTCTATTGTTACACGATATTTGAGTATACCTCGTTAATGTTTACATAATAAAATAATACTACGCGTAGTCCCATAGAGGTCTAGTGTAATAACATTGTTTAAGCTCTAAAACGTGCTGTGTAACATTATTTTGGTGCATATTATTACTTATTAAAAAGTAATAATATTAATTTAGTCTATTTATATTTATATCTAGTCAATTTTGACGTATAAACAACTAAATAGTCTCTAGTTGTTATTACAAGTATATATTATTATTATTGATATAATTAATATATAATATTGTATTAATATACTTTATTGTAGTAATATGTGTTTCCGTTTACAAAATAATGCTAAAATGTGCGTGGTTAGGTTTTTAAACCAATCAAGTTAAAACAATCTAATTAACATATAATATAAATAAAAACAAATCTTTTCAATCAATCAATTAAAAAAAAAAAAAAATCGTTGAAAAACATATTATACAGGACCAAAATTCATTAATTTTGTTTAGCTTTCTCTTCTCGCCACTTGATGCTTACACCTAATTCAGACCAAAATATATTATTATATTATTCGTTTTATCTATATAATATTATATACGTTTCGTTCATCTGAAAAACGATCGTGTTTCAGTCCAGTAAGCTAATATTTAGCACTCGGTAAATTTTTATTTATTTACCAACAAAACACTGCTCAATGTTTTTGTTTAATTTATTATTTGTTTTTGTTGTTGTGAATTGGACGGGCTGCAATGAAATAATCACAAAAGTTATGAATAAAAACAACAAAATTGCGTCTGTGCGTGTAGTACGGATTGCATAGGTGTGCAGGTACAATCATATTATTATGCCTGTAGATACCGAGTTGTAATAGTTTGACGCGCAACTTTTTCCACCGTCCGTCCAATTTTTAAATCGTATGTCATAGTTTAGCGAAAACAAATTTAAACATATGGTTAAGTGAAATTGGTATTAAACATTATTAGTCTATAAAATATATATATATATATATAATATATAAAACATATATTATATATTATAAAAAATAATATCATAAAACTTTTAAAATTAATAAAAGAAATCAAACATAATTTAACTATTAAATATACCTTACATAAATCATATTATTTATGTGACTTAGGCGTACGTATGTATATGTAAACAAATATTATGTTATAAGGACAAAAATCAACATTTGCATTGTATTAATACAGCAAGTAAAACTAAATGTCCTAATGTAAAATCATTGTTGACAAATTTTCCTTTTTAGATTGGTGAAAATCATAAAAATATTAAATTATCCAATTAAATTATTTTTACGTTTATTTATGGCCAAAGCGTGTTTTTAGTTTTGTTTTTTACAGTCAATGTTAGGTACATAATATTATTATTATGTTGGTTAATTGATTAATATTTATATTATTACCTATGTATTATCATTATGAAAATATACTTAATAGGAATTATAAAAATGTGTGTTTTTTATATCCCATACTTTACATCCAGATGCATATAAAATATAACAAAAATATGTAATCATATTCCATTGTATACAATTGAATACAATTTTACAGAATTAGTTGGTGAACAATAAATCTGTTACCAGAAAAATTCATTTAAATGTATATAAAATGTAAGTATAAATTATCTACAATAAATATATAGTCCATCAATAACAATAAATGAGTTATAATAATGTATGTATCAATTATATATTTTATGTCATAATAAAATAAAATAAATTAAATTTTATCAAAAGCATGCTTTGTTAATTTGTTATAGTTATACGCGTATATGCTAGAGCGTGATGGTATTTTATATTTTTGTTTGGCTTACAAAATAAATTTATACAATTAATCAAGTTAGACAAATTGAAAAATATATTTGTTTTTATTTTATTATTATTATTATTATTATTTAACCTATAAATCACTAAACCTATGTACTCAGTTCTATATGCTTTGAATTTTTATGTACCTACTGTATACTTATATATACTACAAAGTGTGCACCTACATCTATTGTGTACATATTATGTACCTATCATATATATTGTAAATCATACGAACCGTTAAAAATTTGAGCAAAATATAATTAAACATTAAGTAGGTAATGATGTTTTTAAACTACTGCACCAGACACACACACACACACA